CCATGCGAATGAAATTAGCGAGGAAATTAGTGAAAGAAAAATCACAAATTTCAGTTTCATTGTAATTAATTTTTTTTATAACTTTTCAACCACATATACGGTTAGATTTAGTGATTCACACGAGACCAACGAGACGAGACTTTCATAAAGTCTCGTCTCGTCTCGACGACAAAATATGAAGTCTTGTCTCGAGTCTCGTCTCGCAGCCTCCAGTCTCGTCTTGTCTCCCGTCTCGTACGAGAGTCTCGCAAATGTATCGCAATTTCGTCATGCATAATTTTGTTCCAGTCTAATACGGGATATTTACCTTCACCTTCTTTCTAGGTATAATAATTCTAGCAGAAGTAGGAAGACAAAATTACGACAAAAATAACATTATTTATTGAAAAGTAAGTACCTAATAGGTACATACATACATACATTATACATATAAACAAGAAAAAAAAACATTTTTCTACAAACGTCAAAAAATGACAAGGTTCGCGCATTGATAACAAATTGCGAAGTGACACTTTTTTTCAGTTTCCTACGTTACAATGATACCTTGCACAAAACAATGCGCGAAGTAAAACAGTGCGCGAAGTACCTACTTCGCGCACTGTTATGTAAAATATATGAGATATTTATATTTCAACTTAATGGTCCACAATCGAGCAAACATCCACGAAATCATTTATTACTGAATGTTCAATAAATAACTCCGTTTTATCTCTTGGAGCGCACGAAAGGAAATTCCTATTATGTTCGTGGAACATCGTGCGTACCTTGGGATGATAGGGGGAGGCCTTTTAGGCCAGTTCAACACTATTTTTTATATCTAAGCTAAGCATATTCTTACTTCAGAACTATATTTTTTGACGTTTGTAGAAAAAATGTTGTTTGCAACTCGAGCGCGAAATACTTTGGTCATCTCGACTATTTTTTAACTCGGCTACGCCTCGTTAAAAAAATCAGATCTCGATCACCAAAGTAGCATTTCGCGCTCTAGATACAAAAATAACTATTGTTTTTCAACATCGTGCAAATCCCAATGTTTTCTTATAGTTAAAGCAGCACGTGAGAATAATCTTTCCGCCAGGACTGAAGAAGCCGGTATACTTAAGAGATCTCGTGCCATTAAACTAAGAATGGGAAATTCAGAAGCATGAATTTTCCACCGTTGCAATATATCTGTTTTTATGACACCGAGGCACAGAATAATATTCTTGAAGCTCCTGCATCCATACTACCGTCAAAACAGAGTTATTCTTTATCTTAGACTAATTAGCACAGAATGACTTATTTATAAATTTTCAGGTAGTCATTCAATTTGCGATCTGTCGTTATTACAGAATTGCCTTTATTTTCCGCCGCCATAAGAGATCATGGATTGTGTTCTCAAAGTATTTATGAATGAAATGTTTTGTCTATCTGTGCTAAATAGTCTGAATTATTTCTAAATATGTTGTATTATGAATGAAATTCTCAAGTATGCAGTCGGCACTCAGAAAAATCTACCTACGAGACTCTCGCACGAGACACGAGAAGTCTTGCACGAGACTCGAGACGAGACCAATAAAAGTCTCTTCTCGTCTTGTCCGAGTATCGACCCGAGTCTTGTCTCGAAAACGAGACGAGACCATGCAAGACTCTCGAAAACGAGACTCTCGCGGGCACCACTAGTTAGATTGATATAGATACAAATACAGAAGTTAGTTTCTCAGGTAACAAAAAGAGGGGCAGAAGTGGCGTATTATTCCCTGGGGAGATAATGTGACATATTTTCTCCCTAGAGAGTTTATACCAACTTTACATTTTTCGCATAGCTCTGCAAATGGATATCTGAATTTCACCGGTATAGCAAGTTACGAATCACTGCAGAAGCAGAATCAACAATTTCTTGTGGCTCTCCTTCAAATCCTTGTTCCATAACCGTTAACTATTTTCAGAGGTGTTATCATAAATTTCAGTTTTAGTTTTGCTGTCACCATGGGTTGTCAACAAGATGCATGTTGTCAAGATACGAATTCCACAAACTACTACTATTTATTACGACAAAACACTTTGACCAAAGGACCCCACACCGCTCTTATGGGTTTCTGCGAGGGTTTCTGGGTCCTGGTCAAATCGTCTGGAATTATAGTATGTTGTAGTTTGTGATATCCTGATCTGAAGCTCTCATGGGTTCAACCTTAGCCCTATGACTATAGTTTTTGAGCAACATCGATTCAAATGTTGGATTGTGTGCCATTATAAGGGTGGTAGAACAGACATATTTTTCGTAAAGAAGCGAAATATCAACTGTGGATTTTCTATAACCGCAACAATGACATGGAGCCAATTACCGGTAATTACTGTACCTGCAGATCAGGTGCAAGAACTCTTGGTTCATGTGCACACGTCGCAAGAGTTTTATGGTTTCTGGTGTTACGCAAGACATGAGCTCAATATTCATTATCCCTCAACTTGCTCATTATACTCTGTACTAGAGACGCTGCGAATAGGCCACATCAAAACAATCCCGCAGAATTATAGCATTACTCATTCAAAGAGCTACATGTATTTTGTCCAATAAACTGATTAATATATATATAAACTGTTTTCTACTAAATGAAGTATTGTCAAGATTCTTGAGGGCACCCTGTAATCGACATTTCAATTATTTGAAACTGAAGCTTGCAGTTTGGACTTTAACAAATTCACAAAATATCTGCCCTTTACTACTCATAAGAAATAATACATTTGATGGGTTGGAGCTCGATAAATCGTCGATAAATATTGATAAAATATCGAGTAAAATATAAGATAAGACGAAATATTTTATGATACCACTGACGAATTATAAAATAAGGGGCATTCATATCACAAAAACACTCGCAAAAACATAAATATATCCAGAGCTAGAAAGTAAGATCTGAAGAATGTCTGTTCAAGTAAGATGAAAAAGGAATTGATGAATCAAACTTGAAATATCAAGTGTTGCATCATACAAAATAGCACATAGCTTCGCTCATCTTACGTCCGCTCACGTCTCTGAGCGATACCGCCCTGTACACTCGATTTCTCCATTTATTCAATGAAGTTCAATCCTCAACACGGATAGTGTGTTTTTCCTATTTGATTTACGAAAATAAATGATTATTACAAAACATAATACATTCTCATGATACTAGGCATCACCCTGTTATCAATATTTCAGTTGATCGAATTATTCTTCAAACAAACTTATTATTAAGGTTGAAATTCTATCAACAAGTCGTTTTTTCAAGCTCATAGGGCACAAATGCACTTAAAAAAATATGTCTGTTCAACTACCCTTAATAAAAGGCACACTAATCCACCATTTGCTCGATTTGACCGGGACCAAAAAACCCGAGAAAAAAACCATAAGAGCGGTGCGGGGTCCTTTCTTGTTGTTTTCGCTAACGTAAAAAATAGCATATACACCTGAGGACAGATACAAATCGCAACTTGGAAAAAATCTTGCATTTCTGTCTCTTGATGTATAATGTACATTATTTCCGCTCACATTACAAATTTTTGAATTACTATAGAGATATAAAAGTACCTACCTACTGACTGCAGGTATGCATATTATTCCTGATGTCTTCTTGATTCCATGATTATTCAAGAACATCTGCCACTTGTACAGATAATAATGAAGGAATTTTGGAGAAGTGAATAATTCGATCGTGTACTCGATCGTGTATATAGGGCTTTCCATTATAGACCGAGGGTGAGACCTATAGAACCGTATAGTGTATAGAACCCGAGATAGAACCTTGACCCTCGCTGTGACCCTTCGAATCCTTCAAGTCTCCAGTGGGATTTATAGTCAGAAGTCAGAAATAAGCGAGAAGGCAAATAAGCTAGATCGAGATATCGGGATCAAGCTCGGGATTAAGTCAGATACGAATCAGTTGCTTGCAATTTTGCAGTTTCGATAATATTGCATAACAGTTATCACTAATAATTGCTTTGGAAAACTGTCCATATTTGTCCTTACCTTTGAACGAGCCTTTGAACATGACAAATTCATCAAGGAATCTATTGACCACAAATATACCAACTCGTATACCAATAACACAAATACACGAGAACTAATTAGATTTAGATGGCTCAATTCCATCTTCCCTTAGGAAAATCCGAGGGCAGTTCCTAGTTTCAATTTTACTATTTCTTGGATTAAAACCCCCTATCTTTCCTGCTTTCTTGTGGTTAATTGATGCATAACATTTTCATTATACCCACCATAATAGCAACTATACTACAACATGGGTAAGCTCATAAGCTGTGATAGGTCATACCCACTATAGGTAAACAGGTAGAATTATACAAGGTAGGTATACCTAGAGTGAGTAGATTAAATACTCTAGGCATAGATTCTCTAGGTATTCCTACTTTATCAACCTCGTATTTCATTTGAAAAGTAGCTGGGATTTTTTGATCTTCAAGAACCCATTCGCATTCAAGTATAGGTATCTCAGTTTCATATCAAAATCAAATCAACTAGGTAGGTAATATAAGATATCATCAACCATTTCGTCAATATGTAGATTATCACACCCGTGATCACACCTACCCACTGCTATTGAAATGAGGATAATGACATCATTGGCATCATCACGAAAACATCTGATGGCAATATCTAGCGTTAATTCCAACAAAAGATTCATTCAGAGAACTACAGATTACAGCAATTTAATGTATTTCAAAACACTTCAGTTGACAACGTGTCTGCCAACAATAAATGCCTCTATCTGCAACATTCCACGACGAGCAGCCATTTTACACAACGATCCACTTTCAACATCTATTTCACTGCGATCGTTCAGCTGGCCAAGCTGGTATGGAAGTCGATAAGGTCGAAAATCACCGCGTTCCTTACGTACGATTTGCCTAAATGGCGCAACGCATTCAACAACTTGGGTGGATCATTCTGGCATAGCTTTACATGGATCCCATCATTATTTCAGAAGAATCAAGAGTGATTATTGATAAAAAATAGTTGATTTACTCACCTCGACAGATAGGCATTGCGATATCTTCTGCGGTAGCGCCCGGTCTTCTATACTTTCGTCGAAAATGGACAGCAAGGAATCCAATGTCTCGGACAGACACAGTCTGCAACAAGATTGGAAACTGCAAATCCTCGGCTCTTCCATGGCTGTCTTCACAAATTCATCACTTCCAAACACTGGACACCGCTTGTAGTAGCAATTGTTATCGTCAGACACTTTTTTTGTTAATTACGGACAGCACAACATCGTGTTTTAAGGTGATAGTTCGATGGCTCAAACAGCAACGCCATGCAATTCACGATGCTACGTTCTCCCCACTCAGGATGTTCCGTTCCGATGTCGTTTCAAACGCTGAGCGTTGGGTTGAGTTTGTCAGCGAAAGCAGAGGCACAATAGGATAGGAAGAAACTAACGGACTGGCGTCTCGTTCTCGGTAATCTCGGTTCAGTTCGCCAGCTGTTTGAAGGGACACTGAAGGTTATTCCCTTTCGTCGTAAGGGGCCTTCGTGATATCGGTATCTTGTGAGCGAGCGCTAGATCACTGGACTCTCCCATCCCAACTCCAACTCGACTGGCTGGTTCAATTCGATATTGATTCAATGGCTTATGGCTGTTCGATTCCGGTTCTAATAGAAGATTTTGCTTGAACAAGCTGAATGAATGACGCTTTGCGTCGTTTGTAATGCACTTGCAAGGAATCCATTGATTTATAATTCCACAACAAACTATGGGGGTAGCTACCTATTGACTTTGATGCTGATTTACCTAGGTACACCTACCTACTTACCTGATGAATGTTTTGCATACCTATGCCTCAATAATTCAGCGTCAGCCTATTGGGAATACCTGCTGAAGATTACCTTGTAATTTCGCATAGTCTCAGGGGTAATAGACAAACATCCCTGGCGGATGTTTTGAAAATGTTTGCATGATGATGTTTTTCCAAGACTTGATATGCACATCCCAAAGAGGTCTTCGCAGGATATCGGAATAAGTATTGTTTTTGTCCTTCTGTTGCATTTCTTTGTTTGCCTACTGAGAGATATCTCAACATTTTTTCAATATAACTTCACCGTTTCACACACAATTAAACTTTAACCAGATTCTGAATTTATCTCGCGATTACAATGCGAACGACCTCCTATTTTTCTCATAAAACAGATGCAACGACGTATACCTCTATATTCAGAATTATTCATTCTAAAATTTAAAATGACCACGTCCTAACATAATCTGTATAAAATAATATGATCTCTGATGCTTATATATTCATAATAATCATGCATTCAGGACCTCAAAACCGCTTTGGAAATGTTCTGTTGTGTCCATGAAAAGGCTTTAAAAAAACTAGGGAGATCGTAGCGGGCATTGGCTCGTGTAAAGGGAACATCGCAATGGAGGTTTAATTTGAAGAAATATCGTCCTTTTAACATCTCTGAGATGTTTATGCTCGCTGGGATAGAGTTAGAAGATCTGAACACTTGAAATAACATTTTTCAGATTTCAGCGATAACAAATCATATACCCAAACTTGGGACGAAGATCCCTGTATAAAATAAGCTCACTTAACATTCAGTAATGACAGGGTGACACTATAATGTTTGCTTCCATTGTTTTTATCATCACGTCCAACTACGAATAGAAATTAAAGTTCGGTAATTCTGAATGTCAAACTCAGACTATATACTCTTTTTATTTGATCAACCATCATGGGTTTCTACATGTTTGTATATATCATATATGTAAATATAGTTACGAATCGTTACTCGAGTGATAACTATTTTATTATAATATACTTGTTGCACGAGTTCAACAGAATCATCAAGGTTTTTGATAATTCCTCACTCTTTATTATTTGATTCATATCATCCTGACTCATCCTCAAGATATCTAGAGCCATTATATTGCCGTCCGAATACAAAATGTTATTGGTATATTTTGACCAACATCCTCACAATCATGAAATTCAATACTTATACCTACCCACGGTCAGTGACTTTTTCTATCAAGGTAGGTAACTATCATAAAGATCCAAGATTGACGGAAATCCTTTGTCTTCAAACCGAAAGAATATGTTTCATATCGTATAAGTAGACCGTGTATTTCTCTTAACGATATTTTGTTGATACAAAAATTGTTTCAAATTGTAATGTTTTGAAGTCAAATATCTACTATATACTTCACAATAATAAGTATACATAGTACATACTCAATAACGACCATCTTTTATATCACCACAAAGTAACAAGGTGATAGGAATGATAGGACAAACTTTTCGAAATTTATTTGAAGGAACAAATAGTAGATTGGTTTATTAGGTTCAAAAGTGCCACTTTGAATGACAAGCAAATTTTGAAAACTTGCGAGTCAAACAAAATCACTTTTGATCCGAATGAAACATGCTATTTTTTCTGCAAACGAAAGTATAGAAACAAATATGTGAAGTAACCACCAATGTGACTTACTTGACAGAATATTATAATACCTTCATTATAATAATATAGGTAAGTAGATAGAAGCAAGACCTCAGACTACTTTACATCAGAATATTGGTGGACGATGACTTTACTTTGTTAATATTTGTATTGACATCATGCATCACCAGATACTATACAAGCACGAATTCAATATACTATACCCAAAACAAAAATGTGAACTTTTTCTCGGTTTATTCAACAGAAAACAACTACTTTCCTGGCTATTTGCCTCGTCGAACATAGAATTATATCTGTAGAACATCCAATAGGAGAGCATGAAAAATAAAAATCCTCTGAAATTGGGAATTGACATTCTCTATCAAATCTGATAAATAATATGATGTATTATGATACAAAAATATAACTTACCAATATCTTCAGTATCGAAATGAAAATTGAAATGTATAGGAGACGTATACTTGTATAAACTCTGATCTTGATGAGCTTGGAACTCCCAAAAAAAATCATTCGTATCAGTGATATGGGAATTTTATCTCTCACAAACAGGTTATACCTATGACTTGAATCGAATCAACTCATTTCGGATATCTAACCCTCAGAATTTATTTCCACGTCCTGTATGATGAATATCAATTTGTCATGCATCCAGATTTTCAAAATTGTTTTTAATTTTTCGAAAAGTTATATCGAAAAAAGTGAATTTTCGAAAAATATATTCTATTTTTTTTCTACTTTAACATTAGGGATACAGAAAACTGAAAATATTCTTCCATAGCAACTCTCGATGAGATTCAACGTGGTGGAAATATAGGCTTCAAATTTTGTGTTCAAAGATTCTGATAGGATTTTTCATTCTGAATTCGAACATGTATTATATACAAGGTGGTTTGCATGTAGTTCTAGGTATTATCAATGTATTTTCGAAGTTCCAAAGAGGAAATACCATCAGTTCCACTTATTTCTCATTTAGTGTTAAACATTGACACTGGTATTTAAAGCTGGAAAGTGAAAAACATACTTCACTCAACAGTTTTTGATAACAATGTTTCTTCGTTCTTCGTTATCAAAATTATTTGCGTAAAGTTTTCAACGAAGGAAAAATCTAGCGCTGTCCAATCAGGCGATCGCGCCAGACACGGGACCGTAGAATGAGTTTAGTTAGTTATCATTTATTTTTATTAATTTTTTTTTATGTCCTGGTTCCCACGAAAAGGGATATCCTGTAATGTTCAGAGAACATCGTAAGAACCAAGGGAAATAAGGTATGAATTTGTGTTCTTCTTGAATTTCTAGAGGTTATATTCCTCGGGGAACACCTCCCTTGGCAATGTGTTCCAGAGTCTCACTGTTCGTTGGATGAACGAGTCTTTGGAAAGAGGTGTTCTGCAGGTCTCCAAAGTGACCACGAAGGAGTGCGAAGCCTCAACTCGACGGGTTAATCTCGCGGGGACTGCCAAGTGAGGAACAATTGTTTATATTTCAGAAGAGCATCGTCTATAAAAATATCTATAAAATAGAGCCAGATCGCCAACTCTTTTCTACGCGGTGTTCAGAGAAGTGAGTGATTTTGTGAGCGAGCCATCACCCACGAAGCGAATTGCCCTTTTTTGAACAGAATCCAACAGTTTCATGGTATGTTTGGGTGCTGCACTCCAAATATGGAAACCGTATTCCAGGACAGGTCGGATCTGTGCCTTATAGATCAAAAGCAGCTGACTGGAAGTGAAATAGCTCCTGGCCCGAAACAGAAAACCAAGTTTTTGGGATGCACTTTTGGCAATTGATCTCAAGCATCGAAATGGATGTCTTCAAAGGTACGGTTACTCCTGACAGGCTTATGTTGGGCACAGTGAGATCGGCTTTTCTAGAGAAAAGGCAAGCTTGTGTTTTGTACGCATTGAAATCAGTTATTGAATACCCATTCGAGAATTGTTGCCAAGTCCATATTTATGTTGTCAACATTTCTCCCACGTTCGTTTCTGATTTGCCTGGCTGGTATTGGAGCCCTAGAAGAAAAGGCGTATGTATGGAGGGTACTATCATCCGCGAAGCTGTGTACTGGACATGAAGTTGCTTCCAACAAATCGTTGATATGGAGTAGAAATAGTGTTGGTGCTAGAATTGAACCTTGCGGAACACCAGCATTTATGATAAGGTAATTCGTGTAAGAAACCACATGAAATAATATGAAGCGCTGCATTGAATGATTTATGAAGTATTTTTTTTACTCTACTCTCCAGCAATGTTTGACATTAACTGCTGATCATAAATAAGTGTAACTGAATTTCTACCAGAATAAAAAGTATCATATGTCCGTTTTCTGGTTCTAAGCTACCTCCCCACCAATTTTAAACGGTTGGCGTGTGTTGAATTTGTTCTCTTTCAAAAAATGCATCTTGTGTTCATGAATGCGCTGATTAAATATACGATCTGTCTTACCGATATATTACCTAGGACAAGATCCCTAAAAGAAAACCATAGTTTTGATGATAATTTAGATATTCTACACGTAGAAAATAAAGGAATAAAACTCAATCATTTTGAATCATTAGAAATCAACAAACTAAAAAATTCTAACATTTCATTTAACGATCAACTAGACCTTAATAGTTCACCACTGTTGAATTTGTTTCTTCAGTAGGTAATAAAATGTATTTGCTATAAATCCTCTCAAGTTAATCCAGTACACCGTATTTCGATGTAGAT